ATGCCAATTATACGCATGCTGAAAATTTTATCGGAATCGGTTAATATTACTATGAGCTACAAATCGTTAAAAATTGTGGAAATCGCACTATTTCACGACGTTCGGCCTATAATTGTAATAAATCTGAAGATTCCTACATCTTTCGATGCCTGTCGCTTGTTTCTCCATCTACCGATTTCGATGAAATTTTCAGCATGCGTATAATTGACATAAATCTACAAAACGTATGTTTTAAATTTTCGTTACAAGCTCCGGTAAAAAAGTTGTAAACAGTAACCTTTACAATTTTCTTCACAAATTGAAATATTTTCAAAAAATTTTATACGCGTCGTCTAGTATACCAATCCTTCTAACTCCTCAAAAAAAACTCAAGTCGTTAAGTCCAATTTAGAAAAAGTTATACTGTTCTAAAGAATGCCCGAATATTAGTAAGAGTCACTGTAGTAGGTGTGCGAGTTAATTCGGTGGCTTTTTGCAGGAGCTTCAGTGTTTATTTAGGAGAAGTTAAATATAATTTTAGTGTTCGAGATAATTTTTGTTATTTTGGATGAGATTTTTGTATTTACTGGAAATTTATCAACTGACGAATTTCCTCTTTGTTTAGGCTTTGTGAAAAAGGGCACCGAATTAATTTGTACGTTATTTTTTGTTAGTAATGGCATATCGATGCGTGGTATTTTATATAATTCATTTTGTAGGATATAATTTTTTCAGTTCGTAGTGATTTTTTCAGTTTTATTGTTACAGCTCTATCGTTACAAATTCTTACAAATCGCCATTGGTCTCCAGATCGTTCGATGATATTAGATTATCCTGAAAGTTCGCGATATTTTTTGTTTAAAATAATTTCGATAATATTCGATACACGTTTTCCAAAGAAAGTAATTCTTTCGGAGTTTCAGAGTCTTGAAAGTATGTTACGATCGTTATGTTTGTTACGCAAAAGAAGGAAACCAGTGAAACAGAAATTAGCCTCGTTTCTCGATTCCCGAAAATACGGATTTTTCGACCTATGCGTTATTTTTTACTCCGCATAATGAGTACTGTGCACCCCCAAATGGTGCAATCATTATTACATTTTTCTTCGTACGTTTCATTTAATATGAACGACTTACACGCGTGGGAATTAAATTATCAATATTTACAAAATATCACTATTTTCGTTTCCACTGTTTAGTTTGATTTCATAAAATTAATAATATTGTAAAAGAGCAAATTTTTATGAAGCTGTAGTATATCGTTGTCACATTAACTTCGAAATTCCTTTGTCATTGTCGAATTATCGAATATTTCAAAATAACGAAGTAAAATTTAATTTTCATTCTGCCTGCCTATTTTGCTATATGTCGATAAAGAAATGTTCACTTGCTTGTATCCATAGGAACAATACAAAAAGCCCGTCACTTCTGTATGCTGTTGGCATGTGCATTGCGAGCAATGCTGGTTACACACGTTGGTAAGTTACAAATACTTACTTTGATGAATTAAAATTCGTTAAAGAAGGTCAATTTTGGCATACGGCCGGAACGAAAAATTTTTGTACAGCATGATTCTACGCATCCTAAGGAAGAAAAAATGTAATTGTCATTTTTCCCGAAAATGATTGGAAAAGTTATGAGAAATACGGTTCAAGGTAAGAGTACGACCATACTTGTAACTTATATTCCGTCTCGTTTACTTCGGATGATGGTCTGTTCGTAAATTAACTGTTTTTAACACTATGTAAGTTAACACTACGAAAGCCAGAGGAACAAGTATGATCTTGCATATCAGTCTAATCATATATGTGTATGCATACAGTGTTCTATCGAACTACGCGTAGGTTAGAGATGTCGCAAAACTGAAAACTGGAAAACTGAAGTCCGATCATCTGCACTGCGTGTCAATTGTCGTATATTGTCGTTAGAATAATAACAAACGAAGTAGGTCGTGTGCAAAGACTTAGTTGTTTACTAAGAGACAGTGTTTTTCCAGAAAAGGATAGAATATGTATATGTCTCGGGGAGACACGGTAAAAAAACCTAATTTGTCGTTGTTTCATAGCTATAACACATCTTATTAGAAGAAAAATAAATTTAGGATACGATAAAACGAAATTGTTGCAGTAATTGATCTAATTAGCTATACGTAGGCTCTCCTTTAGAAGAAAAATAAACTTAGGATACGATAAAACGAAATTGTTGCAGTAATTGATCTAATTAGCTATACGTAGGCTCTCCTCTATTTTCGCTTGATTTTTCTCCTAAGCTGAGCTGTTCGTTGTGTACTTGAATTCGGTGCACTAGCTTCTTGTATGCAGCGGCACTTAATTCACACGACCGAATACGCTAAGTACGTAAATTGATTGGAAATCCGCGTATAATCGAAAACGCGTTGTTCGATGTATTCCCTACAAGACTATAATCGCGCAGTATAAGCGACGTTCGTTGAGGCACTCGTTCGCCTCGTAACTGGGTCGCTGTACGTACGTCGAGCCAAACATAAAGCTAGCTGTCTGTTCACGCACAGAAAAGAGTTAGCGGGAAAAGAATTTTTGAGGCACTCGTTCGCCTCGTAACTGGGTCGCTGTACGTACGTCGAGCCAAACATAAAGCTAGCTGTCTCTTCACGCACAGAAAAGAGTTAGCGGGAAAAGAATTTTCTGATTTTATATTACTTTTATTGGCAAAACCGAGAACAAACGTCACGCACGTGGTCTTAACACAACACAATACGCCATACTTTTTTTCGCTCGACGCATGCGCGATCGCCGCTCCCAGCGCCGCTCGGCGGACGCACGCCGATCACGGTAAACATACGCGCCCTTTTCAAATTCAAACCGTTACACTGTCCTTTTCAGAGTAAAACTATCGCTAGTTGCTCTTGAGCGTATCTCTCGCGAGTGGACACTGCGCCTGAGAGTGACTGTCTAAGAGCATCGCTCAACTCTCTGAGAGTTACGACTCGAATAAACAGTTGCTTTGCAAACACAAAGCAGTTTCGTATTCTTGACAGAACTCTCGTGCGAGTAAAAAAAGTCAGGAGAAAAAATTAATGGAGAAATACAAATGCAAATTCTGTTAGAATCTTACTTTTTTATTGTATCCCCGTCATGACGATTATTTTATTATATTTACGATAGTTTATTATAACTTCTATCACTTCTAGAATAAATAATTATTGGTTCCTGATTGCTTCGAATATAAGCATCGTGTCATCAAAGAATTCCTTGTTTCGATTAATTTGTCATTAATTATTTTTCATTATTTTTGGTTCTTATTAAACACTAGTGTACAACAATCTTTGTAAACAATACTCAATATGAGTTTCTAAGTAGTTAATTCACGAACAGACCATCGTTCGAAGTAAACGAGACGGAATATAAGTTACAAGTATGGTCGTACTCTTACCTTGAACCGCATTTCTCATAACTTTCCCATCATTTCCGGGAAAAATGACAATTACATTTTTCGTTCCTTAGAATGCGTAGAATCATGCTGTAAAAAAATTTCTCGTTCCGGCCGTATGCCAAAATTGCCCTTCTTTAACATCCTCCTTTGCATACAGTTTCGCTAATATCTTCCTTACACGATCTTTCCAAAATAATCGTTCGCAATTCGAGTGAAATGTAACAGCTAAAAATTAATTTACTCTCTATGCAAGTCAATTTTTCAATTTATTGCATTAAATTGTTCTCCGTAATAATTTAGCCGCTCAGAGGCCAAAGTGGCTAACTCCGTCAAATTAAATTGATTAAATTTTTTTCATTTATGAAAAGTTAAGCACCAAGCATGTGCCTTGATACTAAAATTAGATGAATTTCAAAACCTAAAGTTAATCATTTCGGCTTCCAAGTGGCTCAATTATCACTTCTCTCGTAGAAATGTAAAATTGTCACGAACCATAATTTTTCTTATCACGAACGAAGAAAAGTCGAGTCGCAGAGAATCAACAGATTTGATAAATATACAACGATTGATTCACCCTCGTAATTTCATAATGAAACGATGCGAAGGAATTGAAAATTCCTCCCGAGGAAGCTTAACCCTTTCGTTGCTGTTGCTTTGAAAATTCGCTCGCACATTTTTACCTTAATTTAATCCTTCGCGTACTTCCGCCTTTAACCCTTCGGCAGTCTAACAAAATTATGAATCAAGGTAAAAGAAATTTGGTATCTTTTTAACAGTTATGCCCATGTGTGATCATTCTCAAAAGAAATAATATCTCGTCCTTTTCGAACTTTCTTCCTGAGACTCTCTCTCGAGCTGAACACTTAGATATTTGACTCTCTTCCCGAGTTTCACTCGGGATAAATTGTCGAGGGGTTAATTGAACGAAAGATTTTCCAGCCGTGGTTTAAAAGATCTACCGTCTTCCAAAATTCCAAAAATCTAAAATCACAGACGCGTTGAACTCGGTCTCAGCGATGAAAGGGTTGAAACACCTGGAAGATATTGAAAACCGTTGTCGTCCCTTTCAGGGTGCAAAAAAGCTGTGTCCACAGTGCAACATGATAACGTCGCCTTCAGATTTGCGGCGTATCTACATGTGAAAGGAGTGAAAAGAAACGTGTGCCAAAAGAGAAAGAAAAGAAAAAGGAAGCCGTTGGTTCTGAGTTGTTCGTAGGATAATCCGATTATGGATGAAAAATGATGAAAAAACAAAAAAGAAGTCGACGTGTTTCGCGTATTCGAATCGTGTAAATATCTGTATATATTTATGCGTCTCGTTAAATTAAAGCTCCTTTTAGATTTACCACGTAAACGATAACGCACTGTAGCGTTAGTAAATTAAAAGATGAAACCGTGAAGGGCACGCGTGAATAATGTCTCGATTGAAGCGAAGAGTTGAGCAGTATCGATCATGTTTTATTATCGTTCGTACATAAACACACGCACACAGAACTTTTCACCCTGTTATTAAGGACCCGCGCGACCCACCCTCTTTTGCATAATATGTAACTGTTATCGTCGTCGGCATTAAGTTATTTAGGTATAAATAGGTAATTATTATGTAACGTTAGTAATAAAATGATACGTTCTTTTTTGGAGAAAGAAAAGTACAGTCTTGTCTCGAGACACGAGAAGATTAAGAAGAAGAGTAACGAGGATCGAGCGACATTTTTCTCGAAGGTTGGAAATAGAAATATTTTAATAATTTAATTATACAATTACGACGCATTGTTCGTTAACTATACACACGTTTCTGTTTTTTTTTTCTTTCTTTTCCTTTCTTTTTCTGGTTTTCGTTTGCTACTGTGTCCCCGGAATTCTTCTGAGCCTGCTTTTTTTTAAGGGGATTGCAAGATTTTGAGGAGTCTGAAAATGGGGAGTTTGTGAATTTTTTTTGTGGGTAACTAGTGGATGAAATGTTCCAATTTTGGGGGGGAATGTAAATGTGAGTTTTGGCTTTCTTGGGGAATTTTTGGAAAGCAAAATGTTGTAAAATGGAGGAGTTATTCGGTAATTGCGAAATCTCTCGTGCTAGTAGAACATCAATTGCTATCAGCCGTCGCTGGAAAAGATTAGAACGTCTGAAATAAAAAATTCTTGTTGTTTCATAGATAGAAATGTATTACCTACAATGTACCGTAATATTTTCCAAAAATTTCAATTATTACAGAAATGGTGGCAGTTTTAATATGAAAAACTTCTTTTCACCGAAAAAGAATCAACTTCAAAAATTTCCAAAAAATTAAACAATCGAGATATCGAAAAAATCGTTTGCTACATCGTATATAATACATTTCTACTCATAAATCACCAAGAATTTTTCATTTCAGACGTTCCAATCCTTGCCAGCAATCCACGTCCTAACACAAGATGTTCCACAATAACTCCTCCATTTTGCAACATTTCACTTTCCAAAAATTCCACAAGAAAGCTGAAACCTACATTTACATCTCCCAAAAAGATTGAAACATTTCCTCCAACAATTACCTAAAAACAAATTCCCAAAGTTTGCCCCATTTTCGCACCCCTAAAAGCTACTGCTAGCAGTGAAGCTGACAACGGGTACAATGAACTTCCACGAGTCTGATTACGATCGGAGGGCGAGAAATTTTTTCAGCACAGTATCGGAGGAGTCTGATTCGAATCGAAGATTGTTCGCGCGTACCTAAAACTCTAGGTGTTACTTGGAACAACTGGCTTCTACCTTAAAGTTGCCCTTTTGCTGGATCTACCGTTTTTCTCTTACTCCTCCTCCACGAACGGGAAACAAACACTTATAATCCGCATCTACGATTCACCGAGAGTTCGATTTTTCACCGAATATTTATGTATGCATGAGAAATGTAACCCGACAACTTTGTTATCCTTATCGGTAGAATTTTTCGGTATTTAGTGTTACAGAGTCTCGCGTGAACGGTGGAAAATGTATTTACCTTCATTTCAGCTCTGTTTCTTCGCGACACGAGCATCTAACTACTTGTCACGCGATCTTTTGTCTCATTTCAAACTGGAGCAAGAAAAAGAAAGTTATCCAAAGGAAGAACAACTATGCGTTTGTTTTTCGACGATAAATATTATACGTATAATATTTATAGAATATATGCAATTTAGACGTTAAACAGTGTAATTGCACAGGCGACGTTCATTTCAGTTGAGCTACGATGATACTCTTTTTTCGGTTTCACCTATGAGAGTGTACGTTTCGTTGAGTTTTTTGAAATAATGGAGGCACAAGCTCGTCGTTGAATTTATCGAGAAATAGGTATTTCGAATAATTGCCAAGGTTGATTTTTCTAAGTAGACACTTTCACGAAAGCATTGAACTGTTTGTAAAGATCCGACGAATTCATTGTAAGACGTACGTCAAAGGAGAGTGAATTTTGAAAGGAATCTATATATGAGGCGAATTTTATTTTTGAAAAACAATTGTAAAGTAAGCACTGTCTCATTTTATCTGAACACTTTTACGTACGTCACGATGAAATGGATCATTCAGAAGCGACATATATTTTAACGAACCGAAATAATCAGCGAGTGAAAATTAAGAAAACTGGACGATTAATTAACGAGTGGAATTGGGAGAAATTTGTCTGTAAGACATGCGAAACTCGGAGAAGGAAGAAAGAAACGAAATATACAAGGTACGAAGAAAAGAAAGATCGGGTCAAACGAGAATTAATTTTTTTTCTCTCTTTTTTTTTCCAGAAAATTCGTTATCCGTTTTGACTGACGCTTTTTGTCTCTTTGATTATCGGCAGCGTGGACGATGGAGCACTCGAGTACGACGAGAAACCTAATTCGGTAGAAGCAGGATCGAGATTAACAAAATTTTCAATTTTTTGCGTTGAAATGAAAAAAAAAAGAAAGAACGACAAGGAACGAAGAATTTTTCCAAGATATTCTGATTTTCTTCCATTTCTCTTGGAACATTTTACGAAGTGAAGTTTGAACGGTCCAAGGAAAAATGTTTGCGAACACGAGAAAATCGATAATTAGCTGTGAAAATGTTGCGTTGAACGATGATCGGATGATTAAGTTTAGTTTGAAACAATCTCGAACGATTGTTTGAGAGACGATGAAAGCAGGTCCTACGAGAAACGAAAGATATTCGTCAGCAGCGCGTCGAGGAAAACGTGAATGCTTCAGGAACGCCTGGAAAATGGCGATTGTTTGTCTTTTTGTTTTTGGAAAATGCACATGACACATTGTCTTTCCCTCTCTGTAGATTAAGATTTTAGATGGATGCGTGTCTGTTCGCGCACGCAGAGGAAACTCTTGTAAATACACGAACCAGTTACAAACTGCAGAAGAAGTCGACTCCCTGTTGTGTGAGCGTTGTTCTGTAATCGAAATAAAACAATCATGGAATGTGGAATTGTCGTTCTTTTCGAATCTCTTCTTCTTCTTTTCTTTGTTCTCACGAATAGGTAATAAATTTCCTTTCATTGTTGAAAATCCTGTGAATGAAAAGTGTGCGGACGGTTCGTTTCAGGTTGAAGCAGACGCTTAGAGAAGCTCGCCGAGTTAAATCGGAAGTGGAGGTACGTGGTACAGTTTTAATTTTTGGTACTTAAGTATTGGGACACTTATCGAGCGTGAAGAAAATTTGAACAGTCGTCAGAAAATTATTAGGGTCGTGAAAAAATTATTTAACAAGTAGATACTGTGCGGTGCTCACAAGTTTGCCCTCGGGGCAAGAAGGGCACTTAAAGCTCGCATCGCTCAAATTTGGGCCACGAGGTGCGATTCGTTGATGCTTTTTTTATTTTAAATCTCATAGGAGATTTGTTAAAATGATATTGCAAGTATTAGACAGGAGTATGCAGTAACTAAGTACACTAATTGCAGCTATTTAGAAAAGTTAGAATACAGTGACATGCTTTAACGTGAGGACTAATTAGCTAATGACAACTGAAGGTTTATCTTACGAAGGTCGTATATTAGTGTCGCTCTTTGAAGACAGTACGTGTGCCCTATTTCTATGATTATGTTAGAAAAAGTGGGATTACGGGGATACGACCTAATCAGACCCACGTTCCTTCCAAGGGCAAACTCCTGAGCTCTATACCGTACTAACTTCGACGAGGAAATGTAATTAAATCGCTAATTTAAATACTTTTTGTACCGAACATAATGAGTGTCCTAATACAGTAGTGCACACATAAGCGTCCGTCGCTATCCCCACCAATTCTTAGAAATGGGACTTTGGAGTGGAGTTCGAGCATGCCGAATGAAACAAAGTATTCGATATCGACTCCTTGATATATCAGTATCCCACTCAGACACATCTCCTCTCTTTCGTTTAGTTAAATTCGCAGGAGTCACCTCCCCACTTAAGCGTCCGCAGTCGGGACCGAATGCGGACGCTTATGTGTGCACTACTGTATTTATAAACATTATAAATTTCTGTGTATTAAGGCTACATGTTTAGGCTTACGCTGCGTGAACACAGGACAGTGCCGTTTTTGAAGCAGTCAATTTTCCTTTGGTCAAGGATTGTATATTTTTTTTTTAATTTTGAAAATCACTGGAAGACGAACTAACTTTCTCTCGAAAGAATGCCCAGTCAAGTTACCCTCAGCGGCGATTGACTTATCGTAAGCCTACGCACAGTGAAAAGAGGGACCTAGGAAATACTTCAACTGTAGACGTAATAGGGAGACGACCTTAGCTTTTAATTGAACAATCCTAGGTCCCACTTTTCTGCATTCGCTTCCAGGATGCGACTTGGAGGAAAATCACTACACGTAGTTAAAGAATTTCAATTCTCAATCAGCGTCTCTGATAGAAATTTGGCAAAATTACGGAATTTCCAGCAGGTTCTGCGTACCGTTAAAAATCGATTCCTAATTTACCCTCAACCCTTTCGTTACGGCGAAATTAGTCGCCAACGCGCCACCGAGTGACGAGCTTGCGTTCACCGCGCGGGAAGCTTCCCTGATTCTCAGTCCGCTATCTTTCGCGTTAAATTGTCGTTTTGATCTTTTTTTTTTAGAGAGAGAACAAAATTTTTCCTTTCACTAGGAGGTTTTATTGAAACTCATACGCGATATCTTCTCCTGCTGACCGAAAATATACGAGTTACGGTAAGTCGCAGCAA